CCATCACCCTTTATAACTAAAAGGAGATTCCTTAAATTGATGCACCTTTGAGTCTTTTTTGTGGCTAAAATTATTCTTCTTATGTCTAAATTCTAAAGTATTAGCCACCCTTCCTAACTTAATGGTTTGTTTAATTTGATCAACAACCAACACTATTTCAAAAAAGTTATTCGACACCTTTTTCAGTAGGTAGTCATAATAGGAAGTTTTGAAATTATTGACAAAAAAAGATAACTAAGTTTCTTTTAAGAAAAGATGGACGAATAAGAGAAGCTATTTCTCACCGTCATTGAGCATATTCCCTTATAGATTCCTTCAAACCCTTTTTTAATGACTCGTAGGCTCGATCTATTAGGCATCACCTCCAAGTTAAATTGTACTATCTCATGAATACCTCTACTAAATCTTTCTACCTCTTAATCTTGGTTTGATCTAAGTTAATGACTACCTAAGGATGGATCCATTTAGGCTCATAGGGAAAAAATGGATAAGTTGTTTTTTTAATATACGCCACCTCGACCATCTTGTTCAAATAAACCCTTACGTGATTTCTAGGACATTGGCTTCTAGTATACCTAGAAAATTTAAACACTTTGAATTTTCTAGGGATCACCATATTTGGCATCGGACATTTATCCCCACCGAGTAGAGGGTCATACATATATGCTCTTTTAATAGCTCTCAACTTGTTCTTTAAGGGCAACTAGGTTCTTAGTTTTAAGTTTGAGGCTATTTTTTCTGTTGTCAACTCTTCAATGGTGAAATCGGTAATAGACACTATCGACGTTTACATAGTTCGATGTAATATAAGAGTAGGATCCGAAGATGTAGGAGTAGATCGTATATGCCCTCCAACATAGTACTTATTAACATGATTACGTGTACCAACAAGTTCTAAGTAAGGCATGCCAAAATGAGGCACTTAGAGTGGCAATCTAAGTGATCTGGTAGTGGTATGGTATTGAATAGTTATAGAGAGGCGGATGGCTAGCCGACTTCTCTTTTGACTATCATCTCGGAAGACATGTGATTTCTTCAACTTTTTTTAATAAAGTAACAAGCCTAGTAAATTCTTCCTTTAATGCATTTACTTTTTTATGATGATTTTGCTTTAGTCGAGCTCTTTCTTCGTTCTCTATTTTTTCTCTTGCTTTAGTATGGTAAATGTGTAGGAAAAGTGTTATCTTGGTAGGATAATCTATGTTTCTCTAGGACAAACAACGAGCCACACAAACATAAGATATGAATATTGCATTAAAATAAATGACACTCGGGATTGAATATAGAATAGCCTTTATATGGAATGACAAGAGGATTCAATTATTGATTCCTTGACATTTGAAGATTATCCAAAATTGGTTTAAAGATGAACTTGGGTGTCATCGGTAACCTTTGGAATGTTTTGGTATAGGGATTGCTTCCATTATCAACTAGTTTAAAGAAGAAATTGAGTTTCATCGGTGACCACTTAAAATATTCCGATCAAGCCTTGATACCTCTTTGATATTCGGAGATGCTATAAAATTGAACTTAAATCCTCTAATCACCCATCCTAAAACATTCATGACCAAATTACACAGTTAAGGTTTCAATATATTTGACTTGCCTAGTGAATTTACTTAGAAAGAATGATTTTAAGGTTTGGTTATAAGTTATTATGTGAACATGATAAGATCTATCTAAGTTTTAAATGAGGTTTCTTCCAATTCAAAAAATCATCATAGAATTGTTAGGACCACCAAGGGTGATGAGCGAAAAGCACAAAAATCATCAATTATCCATAGCACAATGACAACTAGTAAAAAGAGTTGAAATTTTATGATTGTTTATCCGAGATGAAAGCCATCGAGACACCACTACTATCTCCTTAAGTCTTTAGGCAAGTGTGTGATATACACAAAAAATAATAATGAGTATAGTGTGTGCATGGACATTATTCCATATTCGATCCTAAAAATATAAATGAAGACATAAACTAAGCTACAAAATAAAAAAGATAGAAACAAAAATACAAGGAAAACAATGAAAAAAAAGGCATGAATTTAAATAAGGTATGCAAATTATACAAATCAGCATACATGCATAAAAATTTATCACATCATTAGAAATAAAATAATAAAAAAAATTATATACAAAGTCTACCCCTAAGTATAAAGTTCTAAAGGAGTCGTCATTTTATTGCAAGATGACATTGGGCTAGAGCCACAATTTGGAAATAGGAAATGGCAAAAAAATGGATTCACCACCTAGTATTAATGTTACTAAGAAACCATATGGTTGACTATTCAAAGTTCGGATAAGGGGTTGGTTACATGTAGGAAAGATTAAAAATCACCATATTCCATCATGCCTTAAGCAAGCTACACTACATATGAATTTTAACTTGATTTTTAATTTTTTATGATGAAGATGTATGCCTATTCTTAAATACTTGCTAGCCAAATGAGTGATTCGGGACTTGGTCGATCGGGGACCCCGTCTTTACTCTAAAATGAATATGTATAAAAGTAATATGAAAAGAATATGATGAATGTGCAATAATATACAACTAGGTTTAACTTGCATGAAAATATGGCTTGACGAAATATGCATAAAAAAATATGTAGCTTAAATGGCATGCATGGAAACATGACTTAATGATATACAAGAAGGTGCACATCTTTAAAATAGGTAAATAAGTAAAATAGGCAAAAACGACAAAAACAACAAATTATACAAAGAAGACGAAACAAGTAAAAACTAACCCAATCAAGGTTTGAATCGAATTGAGCATCGTAGTTTTTAGGCAAACATGCACAATCAAGTAAAATCAGTATAAACAATCTGTTTTTGGATTTGGATAGATGCGATTTCAAGCTTTATGATTTTCAATCGTAAGCAAGACATACATGGCTGAATTTGAAAAATATAGCCAAAGGAAAAATTAGCAAAAAGTGGTTTGAATCATAGTTTGGACTAACACAAATTTTGGAATTTCAATTTTCAAACATAATTAAGGAAATGACAAAATTAGCAAACAAGCTAGCATACTTTGTAAGACTCAATTAGTTACAATAAATATAGTTCATTCAAATAATAAAATTTTTAACATTCACATTTAATTCCAAAATCTTTTTAGATGACACAAATTGAAATTTGGAGTTTCAATAAGTCACTTGACAATTAAAAGGCAATGACGGGCAATTGAGATGTCAATGGAATATGAAATTATTGAAATACCCTTTGAGTTTAACTTCAATTTCTTCAACTCGATGAAGAATAATTTATTTTTATTTAGATGGAAAGGAGAAATAACTACCCATTGAAAAGCCGAGGAGGTCACCGTGAAATGACCAAAAATTCCCTTAGAAGTGAAAATTATAAAAATGCCCTTACACGTGTACTACACGTGCTCGTTTCTTTCCAATTGTCATTGGTAGTTCCTCTAACCACCTACAAGCATGTAGGCTATCCCACATGATGGACAACATCCTCTAAGATTTTTTTGTTATGATCTCATTGATCGCCATCGATGGTGGAAGGAGAGCGACGGTGGTAAAAATTTGGTTTCTCTCCTCTTTTTCTTCAATCCAATTCTAATTTCTCTAGGACTTGAAGGGGCTGCAATTTGACCTTTAAATGGTGTAATTTGGCTGGAAAATGGAAGATTTAAATGGGTTCTGCCATCGCGAGTTAGGTTTGATTCACTCATTTTTTTCCAAATTACGAGATGGGAATGGTCGCTGGAGGTTTGAGGAGGATTTCTACAATGGTCGTTGCCATCTATTTGGTTGAAAAACATCAAAATTAGGGAGAAAACAAACCGATCGATCGTGGTTTCTCTTGTCAACTTTCGACAATTTTGAGTGTTTTTGGCAATTTTTGGTATGGTTTTGCTCAAAATTTGAAAAAGAATATGAGTGGCTTGTTTCGAGGGCTCAATTTGGCTGAAAATTGGTTGATTTTTGAAAAGAAACCCAAAACTAGTCGACCGTGGGTTAGTAGATTAGTGGGTCTACAAGTCTTTTCTTGGGTGCTCGTTTGGTTGTTTTGTTTAAAGACAGATTAGCGAGCAAGTAGCGATAGTTGGCTAGTGGGCGGAGGAGATGGCCTTGGGGGTTTGCGACCGATGGGACTTTTCTCTTTGGAGAGGAACTGTCGCTTTATAGGGTTTTTGCTTCTTGGATTTTTTTCTCGTGTTCTTTGCCTTTTGAATTTTTCTCGTCTAGTGGTTTCTATTGCGAGTAAATGAGGGTTTTTATAGTGTTTTATTTATTTATGGTTTGATGGGTAATATTTAATTTGATTCCTTATCTCATGTGCTCTATTTATTTTATCCATCCACCTCCTTATTTCTTTTAAATTGCACACCCAATTGAATTTATTTAGTCTTTATTTCACTTGATTTTTTCAATCGACTCCCGAAATGTTATTTTTCTTTTTTTTTCTCCTTTTTTTTTTTGCAAAATTCAATTAAATTTTCGTAAATGAGATAAAAATTGGGTGCTAACCAACGATGATAAATGGTTCACCAAACATAAATGACGTTTAGGTAGCTTTTCTACGGAACGTGCATTTCTACCTTCCAACCATGGGGAATCGTTGCTGGAATTCGACAGCAAAAGAGCAGCGTCCTTATCAAAGAAAGGCACGATAGCAGGTACCTTGGGAATTTCTCTTAAAACAGCTTGAATCTTCTCTACATTGAGAGCTTCGAAACATTATCAAAAGTTTGATAAGAAACAAATTAAAACGGTAACATTTTCATACACTTCTTAAAGCAACATTAGATGACATAATAATGAAGCAAAAGCCTCTTACATTGCTTAATTAAACACAATATTAGCTCGCTAGGCCCCTCGGGGAAACCTTTATTTAAATATGTTACAAACCACAGCGGGCTTAGCTAATAGTAATCCACTTCATCGTAACTAGGAGACCTTGGGCATATCAACTAGCAACTTTGGCTGACTAGTTGCGATAAGCTGTTATACTTGGCCTTGGTTCAAAATCATCTGAAATCAATTTTTTTCCTTAAGACCGACACCATTATCATAAATTGATACGTTAGGCCCGGGTTCGAAGTCCTCGGCAAAAGATTTTTCTCCTTTAAGAGTGGCATCGTCGTGGTAAACGGACACATTAGGCCTTGGCTCAAAATCCTCAGTTACAGATTTTTGTACCTTAAGAACACCATCAACGTAAATGGAGACGTTAGGCCTTGGGTCAAAATCTTCCGAGAAGGACTTATCTTTCTTTGGTTTTATACCGTTATCATAAACCGTAATAGTAGGCTCTGGGCCAAAATACTTGACAAAATTCTTCTTTTTATTGGACTCTGTTGTGTGGCAATCGGCTCTCTCATTGGAGACAGATGGCAATGCGGTTGGATCAGCGCGAATAAGGCCTTGGATTGCTTCTGGAATGGGCTGATCGTTCATGACAGCTCTCCAATATTCCCCCGTGTCTTTTCTCGCATTGATAACGTTAGCAAACTGCTCAATGCAAAAAAAAAAAAAAAAAAAAAGGTTAAAACATTATATTATCAGATTTTGATAAATAGTTGTGTGCTCTATTTTCTTCTATACCAAAAAATAAAAATAAAAAATATAACGATAATGTGTGCATGTGTGTGTACGTGCACTTCTTTATATTCTGTCTGATTGAAGAAAAAAAAGAAAAGAAAATAAAAAAGCATACCGAAAAAAGAGAAAAGAGAATGAAGAAAGCGAAGGAGGATTTCATGTTCTCTTTTTGTGACAGATCCTATAAAATTGTTTGATTGTATGGAGGTAGCTTGTGTTCTTATTATATATAGGCAAAGAACAATAAAGGAAAAGGAAAATATCGATCAGAAGGACACGTGATCACTTTCGCTAATGATTCATGTGTTTCTTTTCTTAATTCATGAAAAACATCTAAAACTTTTGCGCTGTATATAAGAAATAGACGAGCCATGTTATGAGATCCTACAAAGATTGGAGAGAAAGATGATTGGTTAACGATAGGCTCCACTCTTCCTGACACAGATTGGCTGATGAGGCAACTCATTTTCATAAATGTCGTGTTTTCTAATACATAAATATCATGCCTTGTTCTTATTGTCTAGTCTTAAATGGTTTTACCGTGCCATTTGGTTAATTACAACGTTTTGTTGAGATATTTCATATCGATTGGTTATGAAAAAAGAAAAAAGAAAAAAAGAAAAGAAAGAAAGAGTGTTTAATTATAAGTGTAAAAAAAAAGAACTCATTTTTTAAATTAACTTTTAGGATTAAGAAAATTCAATAGAACCCAACATTGATGTCGAATCTAGATTAAACAATTTTTTGTACTCCGACATCATAAATTGATAAAAAAAAATAGCTAATTTATAGCTCAATGTGTGAAGGAAGAGATTGTGTGTTATTTTATATCGATCGGTTGTGAAAGAAGTTAGGTTTTTATATATAAATATGAGGAAAAGTTTTACTTCTTGGTTATGAGAAAAAATCTCACTCTATAAGTTGGGTATAAGTTTGAGAGAGAGTCTCATTAATTGAATTAGTTTTTTGAGCTGAAAAAACCCAATAGCATCCAATACTGGTATAAGAACTCAAGTTAAACAATTTTTCGTGTGCTAGTGTCACAAGTTGATAAAAATAGCCAACTTAGGATCCGATGTAAGAAAAGAGATATTGTTAGGTTATCCTACATCGGTTGACAATGAAAAGAGTTAGGTGCTTGGTTATAAGTTTTTTTTTGAAAAAAACCTTCACTCCTTGAGCTAACTTTTAAAATTGAGAAGCCCAATAGCACTCAACACATTTTTCTTATGAACTATAGGCTTCGGATGTACAACTATAGCTAGATGCTATTTAGTTGTTAAAAAAATTATGAATTGTGATATGAATAAAAGATAAATTTGATTATAAAACAAAATAAAATTGAAAAGTTAATTTGAAAGAAAGGTACTTGAATTACTTTGGTTACTTCACATGCTCTTAAGATTTCAATCAAAGCATCATATTGAACAATCTCACTTCTTGATACAAATTCCCAACTCAATTTGACATAACAATAAATATAATGAATTTTCCTATATAATTTAAAAAAAAATAGAAGAACCAAACTTTCAACATGTGACTTTTTTTTCATTATTCATATTATTTGAGGTCGAGTTGGGATTATTCAATAACATGTTAAATGGTTTGGAATAGTTAGGGAGATGTTTGTATTTAAAAAAATTCATGGAGCCTAATCCTCACCTACACATATACTACCATATAGCCAAAACCCTAGCCATAAAAAAAGCCAAAATAAAGAAAGCAATGCTATCGGTATGTTATTTTGCCATTTCAATCATCATATAACCTTCACATGCACAAGTAAGGTTCCTCGTACCAAGAGCCATATGCATCTACCGTAGCCAAAATTTCAACTTCTTTCATTTGGTTCGGTCTCGTTCTTTTCTAATTTTTAGTTTGAGCCTCATATCTACCAATCGAGGTAATTGAGTCCGCTTTTTTTTTAATTGGATAATCACTTGCATTTTGTGTATTGCTTTGATCCAATTTAGTATTTATTTTTCATAACTTTTGATGTGACTTGCATGAGATTTGGGTGATTCATTTAGATTAACTATTTGAGCATGGCTTTACCAAAAGTATTTGATTTTATTTAATATTTGAAAGACTTTAAATTGGATTTGTGTGATCTTGATATTTAAACTGATTGAGATTTTAGGTATGTAGCTTTAGGTTTCAAACTATTATTATTATTAAGGATTAAGGATGATACACGTTTTATATAATATTATAATTTTCATTTTTCTAATAAAAAGTTTCTAATGAAATTTTGGTTAGTGATAATGCTAGCAATATGCTATTTTTTTATTTATTATATAGTGATAATTTTAAAATAAATCAATATAAATCAATAAACCAATGACCTTGTGGAGGTCAATCGTCTATTTTAATTTTTGTGTGATTGTCTCTACATGATGTGAGATCTTTACATATTTGATTTGCTTATGTTTTGCATCGACATAATTGTTTGATGCGATGTCCGTCTAGTTTAATCTAGATGAATAGGTTTAGAATTTAAAATCAATTTGGTTCTAATAACACGGTTGTTTTTACATTTTTATTTTTTTATTTTCATTATATTTATTAACTTATCTTTTTTTTTTTTGGTGCACTAAATTTGTTGTTTTGTAGATTCTAATCTAAATTTAGTATTGAGCCTTGCAACCAACTTTTATTATTCTTTTTAAGTGGCATGGCGAGTCGACATGGACTCAAGGCCCATATCCTTATTTCTTCATTTTTTTTTATTTAAAAAAAATTGTAATTTTTATTTTTATGGATTGGTCGGTGAAATTTGACCTAAAATTTGAACTTGTTGTTTTCTTTCCTTTCATTTATGTCTTTTGTTTAGAGCTTGGTTGCTTAATTTGCTTATTGGATTTGAATCTTGACTTAAATCATTCCGAATGGCTCCAAATGCCTTAAAATAAGGCGTGAAAGGTTTTTTTCATATGGCTTAAGTACTTACACCAAATAAAGAGTTCTTGCTTTCAAAATGGATTAAAAAAAAAACCACATCTTACTCAAGTTCCCAATGAATACTAAGCAAAATTTCTTTGATTCATTCTACGTTTCGTTTCCTTAATGATGCTCATTGAATGATCAATTCAATAAGATATCTTGGATCAAATTGATATTGATATATCAATTTGATCTAAAATCTTAGAATTGGAATGAATAAGTCCATGATCCTAGATTGTTCTTACACGGGATTGCAAATCATGAGTTTTTCTTTGAAGAACATATCAAATTATGTTAGTGTCTAGAATTGATTTTTTTTTTTGTAATACTAATATATTGGGCCACATAATAAGTTTTATGAGGTCTCGTATATTAGAACCAATGCTTATGCTCGAAGCTCGATTACCATAATACGTCCGAGTCCAACTACTGCAGCTAGATTTTATGCTAGTAGAATTTGACCTTGATTCATAATCCCCATCCCGCCTCATACTAGTCCTTTTTTCGGACAATCTTGATCTTAGCGTCAAGTCTATCGATGAAAGACTAACTCTATTACCGATTAAGTGTTAGCCTATCTACTTGTATTTGTTAAGAGGAATATCCGGAAAGGCATTTAGGGAATCAATCTGATTTTATATTTGCTTGTTCTATTTGAAGAAAAGAAGGATTTAATAGAATCAATTTTTTTTTAGTTGTTGAATATCTCTTTGATTGATCAATGTGTGATATTCTAAATCCTCATTACTAATGAAATCAAAATAATCTTTGGATTGATCGGAGGATTCCTTTAATTGGATAGAATCATTTCCTTTCAATATAGTATTTTTGAATAAGTTCTTGGATGACAAGCCTATGGGTTTTCTTGTTGATGATAGAGACGATAAAGATGATAGTCACAATATTGATGTGAGTGATGATATCAACTGTGATCTTGATACTAAGCTAGAGTTCTAACTAGAATGAATGCACTCACTATGGATATGATGCCATAAATAGACCAAAATGACCACTCGGATGAAAGATCAAGTCTTCTTTTAATCTCTAAGTCACCTTAGCTAGGATTAACTAAATAAGGTGTAATAATGAACTCACAAATTAAGATAGAAAAAGGGACACAAAATTCAATGGACTTCTATAAGTGATTCTCATTGATTAGAAACACATGATAAACTCATTGTGAGGACACACTCGGAGTTGCCATAGTTTTCTCCGGTTATTTAACCAACCTTTTTAACTAGAACTCCTTGGACTAGTGTTAGTTTCTCTTAGTTTGTACTTTAAAAAAATGAGTGATGATTCTACATTTCAAACCATATATGTTATGATTGTCTAGACATCACTGTGTAATAAATTATATAGGACAAAAATACAACTCAAATGAATGTAAAAAATTGACAAAGAAGTCTTATGTTATTTTTACAAAGGATTGTCACATATGAAAAAGTATTGAATAAATATTATAGAATTGATATTGAGTCAATAATTGGTAATGATGATGATATGGACGAGAGAAAGTGCTAACCAAGGAAAGTAGAACCCTCTACTTTGAAGAGCTTCATATGAGTAGATCTACTAATCATACTAATCAATATCATTCTTTTGTCAAGACTTCTAGTTCCAATAATGTATTGTTGATGGACAAAAAGAAGCTAAATAGCTTTAATAATATTCTAACTTATGATAAGGATTAGGAATCAAAATTTAATGATTGATGACATTATTATTTTTGTAAGGTAATGGAGAAACAATTGATAATACTAAAAATGATTCTTTAAGTTGAAAATTCTATTGTTATCTCAATAAAATTGATAGTGTATAAGAATAATAGATTGTGTGCCAATCGGGTAGACATGAACATTAGATGATGAGTTACGATTTTTCTCTTTATAAATTAGAGAAAAGAGAGTGATTTGTTAGGTTTATATTATAGGTCCAATCTATAAGTGTTATATAGCTGTAATTACTCTATAAATGGTTGGTCTATATATGGTTAGTATTGTATTTAGGCAATTATATATCCTTAATTCTAGGAACTAATCAAGGTTGTATATGGCTATATAAATAGCCCTTCCGAGAAAAAATATGGTTCTAAGATTTATTCTCTATAGTAGTGCTCTCTATTGTCTCCTTCCTTTCATTATCTTTTATTGTATCGAGCATTAGGGCATTTAGCAAGTAGAAATAGATAAAGATGTCAAAAAGCAATAGAGACAC